TTAGGGGGGTCTGGGGTTTGGCGGGCCAGTCCCCTACCCGCGGGTGGCCCCCCTCCCTCCTGGTCTCTGCCCCCCCCCCCCCCCCCCCCCCCCGGGGATTGGCGCCCAGGCCCCTAAATCTCTCTCCTGGGTAGCGGTCAGAGCCCGGCCAGTTGCTGACCGCAGGAGAAAGTAAACACCCCAAGTGTCTGGGAACAAAGGCAAGTTGTCTTTCCACGGTGCAGGAGCCCAGTGTCTCTTCTGAAGAATAAGAGCTATTATTATTCATTCTTTCTTTTAAAACCAAGTTTCCTTCTAAGGGAAATAAACACCGAAGGTAGGATTCCAAGGAAATGACTCACGGCGGCTGGCAGGGCTCTGGCTAGGCTGGCCCGAGCCCCGCGCTCCTGCCCGCAGCGGATGCCTGCGGGGCCCTCACGCCCTCACGGCCCATGCCCGCTCAGAGCAGGCGACTGCGGGAGCGCCCGGCGCTCTGGTGGGACCCGCCGGCGAGCACCGGGCCCGCGCCTCCTTGGACCTGGGGTCCGCCTCTCCCCCCAACATCTGCAGCCGCAGCCGGGCACTTGGGAAAGTTGCTAAGGCCGAGGAGGCGGGAGGAGAGAAAGCGAGGAGAGAGGCGGAGGCGTGGACCCGGCGGGCAGCAGCCTCAGCCCGCTGGGGAGGTGAGCTGAGGACAGAGGAGCCGCCGCCGCCCGCAGCGCGGCTCGGCTGCTGGGGAGGAGGGTGCGGGGGCGGAGGTGGCGGGGGACAGAAGGTGTCAGCTCCTGCAGCTATTCCTTTTTCTTGCAAACGCGCGCTCCTGACATCCATAACCCCTCCCTCCCCACCTGCCAAGCACCGCGGCGTCCAGCTCTGCGAACATCCTTCCTGCTGACCCTAGAATGAGGGGCTAAGCGGCCACCTAGGACCCCGAGGTCTCACCCAGAGCTGCTGTCCCCACCAGCCTCTGGAGTCAGCTCCTGCGCGCGGGCGACAGTCGGAGCAGCCCTAGTGGAGGCGGCGGTTCCCGCCCTGGTAAAGGGCCCCGCGGCGCATGCTAGCCCCGGGAAAAGCCCGCGCCGCCTCCGCGCCCCGCTATGCCCTGGCCACCTCGCCGCTCCCACCCCGCAGCGGCCGCCGCGAGTCCACTAGGTGACCCGGGCGCTGCCCTGGAGCCGGGGGGCGCGCCGGAGGCCGCGTGGGTTCGGGTTTGC